TTTTGGAGAAATTGTTTGCTGCATGAAACGTTCACATTCCCATTCAATCCGCTTGTCACTTGATATGCCATTGTTTCAATGAAATGAAGATGGACGTATCGATTTCATTGTGATAAATTGCAATTGTTTCTCAGCCAAATTCTAGTTCGATGTCGAAAATAATTATTAAAATGTCTCTTCCTAATCCCATGAATTCCGATATATGGATGAAGTTGTAGTTGAATGTTATCAAAACTTTTCGCACGGCACAGTGAATTACCAAAAGCTGACTAACCCAAGGCCGTAGTCAGCTCGGAACGTCCGGGGGCGCTGAAAAAATAATCATGGGCGCTCGCAATAAGAACACTTATGAAAACTAAAACAACTTACCATTCATTTTTGTTGCATTTTTATTCATAAACGGATGTATGGAGGCAAAACAAAATCAAACCGCATAAAACAGCTTATTTTATAGTATTTTCATCCTAGAATTATCTTGTAGCTTATATTTCATTGGAGTATTTGAGGCCAAACCGTTTTAGTATAATATGAGGATAACCACCCAAGAGAAACCAATCAAATTACTCTACGCTAAAATGATGCCAAGTTTAAGTAGTTCAATTTATTCTACACTGTTTAGACGCTCGCCAAGTTAAAAATATCCTGAAGATTTGGCGTAACTTCGATGTGGAATAAATTGAATAACTTGAACTTGAATTATTATCAATATGCAGCACCATCTATATGTCAAGTTAAAAATATACTGGACAAACGGTGTAGCTTCGGAGTAATTTAACTTAAGTTAAATACATATATTTGTATTACAAATAGTATTGAACTTAATTTATTCCACACCGAAATTACGCCGAATCTTCAGTATATTTTTAACTTGGCGGGCGTCTAAACAGTGTAGAATAAATTGAACTACTTAAACTTGGCATTATTTTAGAGTAGAGTAAATTGATTGATTTCTTTTGGGCATATATGAACCATTGCAGACAAACAAATTCCCTCCGAATATTTTAATTTCAAAGTGCAACATGAAATTCTTTTTATATAGAGTTTACGACAACAACTCCATATGAAAAAAAATTTATGATGCACTTTAAAACTAAAATATTCGGAGGGAATTTGTTTGTCGCAATGGTTCATATATCCTATTCAAAACCAAATATTTATTGCGCATAGACCATAGACAAAACACATTTTTTCCGATATTTCTGGTATTTCTTTTTTACATTATATACAAATTAATTAATTACGCTAATGGCGCGACAATACTTCAATCGATTTAAACGAACCGAACATTCATTTATAATAATTGCCATCGTTTCTTTAAGTTGGCTTCAATCAATTTTAATTGTAATATGAATAATACAAAGATTCGATTGGCATTATTGTCATCTTCTTTCAAATAATATTTTTCCTTTTAATGTCAAAACTTTGTAACAAATGGAGAAATATTTCTGAACGTATATTTTCTGAATTTTTTGAAGCATTCTACAAATTGGGAAAGGCGCTCGTAAATCATCGAAGAGCGCTCAGCGCCCTTTCGCGCCCTCGTTACTACGGCTCTGGACCAACCAAAATCAATTCGGTCAAAAACTATTATTTCCATATTTCCTCTTCACGTTGAAGATGAATCTGAAATTCACCACAGGATTTCCAAAGATGCGAATTGCTTATTATTGATTAAATTCTCGTGTATCATATTCGAAACATGCACACTTGCACACGTTGAAATTATACATTCATTACATGACCGAAATGCGAATACAATTCAACAAATGTATTGATTTGTTTGGAGCAGCAAGGAGAACTTCTGTTGAAATTGAACAATTTTCGGCTTTTTGAATAAATTTTAATAATTAATAAGCACCAGTGCAATATTGAACGATGCTTTGACTGATGACTTGCGTTTAATCTGCAATTGACATTTATGCAGAGTTTCAATTGATAAAACACATATAATAACTTCCAGGAGAGATATGATTTCTCTTTTCTTCAATACATGACATTCCACATCATATAATAACCATCACATTCTTTCATAATCCCTGGATCAATATGTTTGTTGCTTGAGGATAGACAAGAGCACAACATGTTTCGCTGTGCCAGCAAATTGTGTACTGCACCAAGCAGCAGAAGCATAAACCACAACAGAAGCTGATATAAACGAAATAAAAACATCTTTCGTCCATTAAAACTCGTTCAAAAATCGACATCATTTCCATGAGCTCAAAGTCGAAAATTGTTTGTTCCATCGATCAACATCGGTCTTTTTTTCACGATACAAAGTTTCTGGTGCCCAATTTAACAAAGAAATTACCATATATTATGCAAAACAAAACATTGCAACTTTTAAAAATCGATGCAGTCATTCAAAATCATAATAATTTATAACAATATTAATTTTGTTTGATAAAAATCGAACATATGCAACGTTTGACTCTGGCCAAAATGTAAACACGATCCCAAAAAACCAATGACAGATTGCCATCGGATGAGCTGCGACCAGGCGACAATTGACCAATATTTATGCATATCGTCCATTGTTTATTTGGCTGTAATTGGTTATTCCAAAAGAAGTGACCACTCATTTGATTCGCATGGAATTGCCAACCATTCTTGCAGTCATGCATCACGTGATTACATTTAATTTGCATAAAGTATATTTCGGCGACAGCAGCGCTGTTTTTCATTTATTTGCATATATATATTTTATGGGCTGAAGCAACAGTATTTATCATAATAATAAACCAGCATGCGGGAATAAGGTGCACACGTGCATTCTATTTGATTTTAAATTGAATTTACCATGAATTTATTATTCAACGAATTCGATTTACATATGGTCTGAAGCCATCAATTTTATGCCATGACTGTAGGACCATTGGCGGTGACATTGGGATTTTCCATCAAAATCAATTGATATCAAATCAGCGTGAGTTTAAATTAAAATTCAAATGGAGTGCAAAAAAACATATTGCGAAAATAGAGACAACGGAAAATAGTTTGGGAAAATATGCTTTACGGTTTTTGCTTTGTATGTACGGCAAAAATTGGGTCATCCGCAAAAACTTTTATAGACAAGAATACAGCTATTTTCATTTATAAAACCCAGCAATGATTTATGTAAGAGAGTACTCAAAAGAACACTCTATATTCACACCAGAAATGCATTCACAAGATTAGCATTACAAATAAGCAATAAATGCTTGTATTTATAGAAGCTTATAAATTCGAGTACGACGTTGGTTTGCAATCGTATTTTAGAGTAATGCACTTCAATAAATTGCAAAATGTATCAAAGAATCATAAAATGTGTCAGTTTGACGGTGTTACTTTTCTTGAAATAATCAACAAGTTTGCACTTTAATTTCAATCTCATCGACCAAGTGCTCAACAAACATAATATTGGAGCAACAATTTTATGCCACAACGATTTAAAACATAATAATTTTTAGCTCTAGATTGCTTATTTGTCTGTGTATTGCCTGAAACCATGATTTTGAAGACTGGCTCAATATAGACAATGATAGCAAATTCTTTTGGTCCACAAGTGCAAGTAGTGAAGTGAGTTGATTTATTCAAACAGATTCGGGTATTTGGCCGTTTATTTATAATTTTCGTCAAGAAAATAAATAGCCTGAACGTGATAAGTTGAGCGTTGGTTTTGATGGATAAAAAGCGTGATGTGCTGGTTACCAACTTTTCTTTCTTAGGTAGAAAAAGTGTGCCGAAGTGAACGCACGTCCAATGACTACAGATGTTTTCCGTCCAATATTCTCAGCGCAGAGCCAAAGGTTCGTACCTATTGCGAGTATGTGCATGGTGTGATGTATGAAAAACAAAGTTGATGTGCGTGAAGATGGGAAACCTGGTGCCAGTGTGATTTACATCGTATATGTAGCTCGATTTTTGGTATTTGTAGTCAGGAACGAATGCGTGAGTGATAAAAAAGCGAAATAAAATTTTGATAGTGGTGTATTCCAAATATAGCAGTCTATGCAAGTATTTTTATGAATCGAAATATGATTTTATTATTGATGGGGTTCCACTTTTGATGTGTACATCTGCTGCAAGCGGTGTCACATCATATAAGTAACCATAAATAAAACTTATGAATTATGTATGGAATTCAAAAGGGCTAATTTGTTTCCAACTGAAATTTCCAGACATACAGCGCGGTAAAAATGAAAAAAAAAATGGAAATATTTGTGTCTTTCATCCTTCTCTTCCAAAACTGGACGCAGTCTCATGTATTTTTAATCACCCTTGGTTTTTTTTAAACTATGAGCCAATTAAAATTAGCATCTATTTTCACAGCAATCAATATTACGTTTGACGTTCGCTCCAAGCAATCCAAAAAGACACGTGATAATTGTAAAACACAAACATCTACCACGTAGACGCTATTATTGGCAAACTCATTTTAGTTTCATTCTATTTATTGCGTGGAAATTTCCCCAATACGAATGGAGCACCGTTTCTTCCCACTCAAATGCATTATTCAAATGAAACCAGCCATGTTTTATTTGCAAGATCGAAGGTAAGCCCACAACAAATGTTTCAAAAATAAACAAATATCAACTACGTAAACGGCTGGTATTCCAGTGTGAGCTCCATTCTAAATGACGCTTGCAATTTGTGGTAAGCGTTTTTTTTGTCTGCCCATATTTTATGAGCGAATCGGTTTTATTTGCATTACCTCTTTTTTTTACAGAAAGAAAATGTTTCGAAACCTGATTTCTGAACTTTTTGCCGCTACTCCAATGAACTACACGTGCTAGCATTACACGTGGTTGACATAATTCTATATTATACAAATTGTGTAGGGGCCTACAAATCTAAGCAACGATTATGGTGGCTCGTTGCGATTTTTGCAACGTTTGCAGGTTTTTGAACTTGCTATTATTGTACGACTCCGTTTGCGATTACGTTGTAATTTCAACTGGCCAAGTTTATTCAAATATCAGAATAGTTTGTCTATAAAAACGATTTGCACGCTTTCGGCTTACGGGCTTACTCATAAATGTACACATTCGTGAGAACAAATGCCGCAACATTTCGAATGTGTCGTATCCTCAAAAAGCAGTAATTGATTTTATTTGCAAACTCCGCAATTGTCAAAATCGTGCCGATTGAAATGTTGACAATTTAAATTTTCGTGAGGCCATTTCATGCATTTTATTTCAGTTGTCCGTCGGCTTTTATTGATTAAACACCCAAAACGTTCTGTTCCTTCGAACATTTGTACTTTACTTCTTGTTGTGCGCACATCCGTTTCCAAAAGTAGCAAAATCGATCGGAAAAGTGTTGGTTGGATCATAACGAATATTCAGAAAATTCGATCAAAATGAATGTCAGCGATACCATTTCTGAGGTCGCCACATTTACGGGAATCGATTACACTGTGTTTACAATCATATTGTCATTTTCGGTGTTGATTGGCATTTATTTCGCATTCTTCAGCGACAAACTGAAAACTAATGAAGATTACTTGGCTGGCGGTCACAATATGAAGTCGTTACCCATTGGCATCTCTTTAGTAGCAAGGTATCAATGAAACTCTTATTTAAATGTGAAATTCTCTGCATGAGTGTTGCACTGCAATGTTCCATTTTATTCAAATATTCCAGCCAAATATCAGCGTTTTCAATTATTTCCGTCCCAGCTGAAGTGTACAGCTTTGGCTGGCATTATATGCTAATTATCCCATCGACTGCTTTGGTTTCTGCCGCAACTAACTATTTGGTGCTGCCAGTTTACTATCGAAATTGCATTGACAATTGCTACGTTGTAAGTATTTTTTTTTCATTCCATTTTACTGTCTTGATGACGTCATAAACTGTGAACTTATTCTAATAAAAGGAACTAGTTCTGTGCGTATGTGAGCACGTATCCCGACGTGTCCCAGTATACAAAAAAAGTACTTTCATACAAATGATATTTTCTATTTTAGTATCTGGAAATGCGGTTCGGTAGAACGATTCGGCGTTTTGTCACGATTATATTTATAGTGTCGCAAATTTTCTACCTGCCCGTTGTCATGTACATTCCGTCACTATCGTTTGTTGAAGGTGAGTTCCTTAGAAAGAACTTTTGAATAAATTCAATTTTGATGTGCTATTTTTATCTTCGTAGTGACAAAGCATAACATCCATGTGGTGAACTCGATTGTTTCATGTGTTTGCATAGTTTATACCATGTTGGGTGGAATTCAAGCGGTGGTTTGGACAGATGTGAGTGATTCAGAGGAAGATCCACATAAAATTTTATTTCGAGTGGAAATTTCAACTTCAGAGAATTAATTGTTTTAAAAAATTGTAGGTGCTGCAAGCAGCCGTGATGCTTGGTTCGGTTTTAATTATCGCATTCTATGGAATTATGGATGTTGGTGGTGTAGAAGAAGTATGGAACCGTGCAGTCAACGGCAGTCGTGTTTATTCACCAGAGTATATGAAAGAAATCCAATCATTTGTGGCACAAGTTATGAATACAAATAATTTTCCAACAGTTTTACATTGGATTTGGTGACACGGACAACATTTTGGAATACCACGAGCAGCTTATTTTTCATTTGGATTTGCCATTCGGCATTTACACAAAGCAATGTGCAACGCCTCACCTCGTGCACAACACTAAGAACCGCTCAGAAATCAATGATCTATTTAGTTATCGGTGTGACTGTCATTATGCTATCAACGTGTGCAAATGGAATTATCATGTATGCCTACTACTACTTATGTGATCCCGTGAAAGCCGGAATTGTTTCAAAACCAGACAAACTCACCTCTCGTTTCGTCCAAGATGTAACCGGGCACATTCCCGGCATGTCAGGTACAACCATTTAAATCATTTCCCTTTTCAAATATTCTCACAATAATTTAATTCTATTTCAGGTGTTTTCATTTCATGTGTATTTTCCGCTTCATTGAGCACGGTCTCCGCATCGTTGCATTCATTATCCGGCATATTTTACAATGATTATATTCGTCCACGAAAATGGTTCGCCCATACCGACGGAAACGCGAATCTCACAATGCGAGTGATAATTATGATGATTGGACTGTTTTGTGCGTTAAGTGGTTTTATCATTGAACATTTTCAGTCGGTATTTCAAATGGTCGTGACAATTGTTGGCACCGGAACGGGTGCCATTGTGGGATCATTTTCACTCGGTATGCTGTATCCATGGGCAAACAAACAGGTGTATATTTTTTGTTTTGAATGCTTTTCGAGTCATTTATTTATAAAAGCCATTGTTTGCAATTTTTTTTGAAAGGGGATTTTATCTGGGATGCTCATAAGCATGGCTTCAATATGTTTCATAATCATCAACACCCACTATAACATTTCGAAAGGACAATTCCGCTACGATGTACTACCAACATCCATTGATGGATGCAACAACGAAACAATAGGACAATTTCAAGCGTAAGTTTTTGTTTTGTATACTTTGTTCAAAGCAATTTTCAGAATATAACTTGTTTGTTCCACTCATTTAATGGGAAAGAAGAATGGTTTTATTTTGTATTCTTCATGTTTCAATAGAAACATTCCGTGTATTCCTTTCCACAAGATATCATGTTTTGAGCCACTTTTTCTCATGAATTCAGAAATGAACTTTTCACTTTTTTCCCATTGTAGCCCACCAAAAACCTTCCCATCGGAACCAGATGAAGGTTTTGCATTACATAAAATAGCATTTCAATGGTATCCACTGATCGGAGTGATTCTTATGTGCGTTCCAGCCATCATAATTTCCCATTTGACTGGCGGGCAAGATCTAACCAAGTTAAATGTTCTGTTGCTTTCGCCATGCGCTCAAAAACTTGTGCCAAAAAAGTATCGGCATATTCAATTGAAAAGGGGAAATAAAGGGAGCACAGGGCATCAAAGCGAAAATGAAAAGAAAATGCTCAAGCCATCCCTTGAAACTAAATGGACTTTTATAGAGAATAGCGAAGTTAAATTAAACTAATATTTGAAAATGGTAAATTCATCGCGGGATATCAATTCACCGAGAAGCCGTTCATTAAGCTAGTATAGAATGGAGAAAAAGGAAGAAATTTTAAAGAAAAATAAAATCAAACTCTTCATTGACAACGTTGCACTATGTATCGAAAATTGGGGATGAATGACTGTGCGTTTGGAAAAGAGAGAAACAACAACGTGAGTTGAATAAATGCATGCCTTTAAACAATGTCGTCGTTCGAATAAAGTGTTTTCTTTTTTATATAAAAGTTTGCATTTTAACTTAGTTGTCCAAGTTTGTATGTAAAGTAGTTGTAACAATAATGATGGTGAGCGTAAAAGTAAACAGGCACGTTCCGTGAATAAAATTTGAGATATGGCCGTCATCATAGCGAGATACAATTTTAAGTTATCTATTTTGTAACCAGCAAACTAGCTACAGCCTTGTGCTCGTGCGTTTTTGGTGTACTTTGCCACTCTATTTATAGAGTCACATTTGTTATGGCAGTGCATGCGACATGAAACCACTACTATCAAGCATTCACAGAAGACTTTGTGCTCCATTCCATCGATAACCATCTCTCTGCAGCTCAAATTCTGCTTATTTAAAAATTCCAAGAAAAATGTTTGCTAATATTTAATGTACTTCTCGTCAAGACTGCATTAAACGGATGCTAAGTGCAAAAAACGAGAGATCTTACTTGAGCAAACGAATATTCACCTATGTGAATTGCTAGTGTGTAAGCTTCCTTGCAAGTGACTGACGCCGCTCGTTAGCTAGACAAAAGAAGATTTGGGGCTGCATTTTATTTCCTCGTTGAAAGTATAATTCACCTAAATGCACTGGGTAAGTGTTCATTCAGCAATGAAATATGCGTTCGTTTCAAAATATTTTCGAAATTTACATGGAAATGTGTGTGTGTGTGGGTCGACACACATCCGGCAAAATTGTTTTAGACAGCAATTTATGAACGAACGCCATAAATTAGATCGGATTAACGGAATGCCACAAAAAAAAAGAATCCAAAGAATGGCGCAAATTTCCCTCGTCTTCCAAACGGAACTAAATGTCTATGAGCAATAATTTTCAGTTGGAGGCTTTAAAAAGTGGCTGTGTTGCTTGAAATGTGCTGAGATGGTGGTTTTTTTTTCGCAAATGACTTAGAACAGATGTCAATGACTTACAGCTCTTTTTAGCAATATGAATTAATTAGTATTCCATTCAAATTGCTTGAACTTTTCCGTAAACATTTGTTTTGTTTTTGATCATTCTTGCCTTGAACCCACTTTAATGAGCCACAACAGCTTGCCAACATAGTCCGTACAACATTTCATCCATTTTGAACGCGCATATCACAATCAAGAGGGAAAAAAAGACAACGAAATCAACTTTGTTCTGTTTTTCGTCTTGTTCAACGCAAAGAACAACGAAAAAACAATTTCCCAATAAAATACCATTTATCTAAGGGAAGAAAAGTTGAGCACAGTAAGATTCAGTGCCGTACCAGAATATACACACACTGTGTGCTTCTTTCACGAACGAAGAAAAAAGGGATAAAGAGCAGCAAAAACGAGTAGCACGCGTTGCAAACCAATGGCCAAAGGATACAGAAGTGAATGGAATCAAATGATGAGGATGAAGCGTACGCAGTTAAGCGATAAAACGATATTTGCGCTCACATTTCCACAAAGACTGACGAGCTATGATAGGTTTGCATCACATAAAGCTTCATTCGATGGGATACCGCACGTTCGTCCCGTCATTTATGTGAACAAAGGAGAAATGTTGTTTTTGTCTCCCTTTTTGTCCACGACCTGTTGTAGTTGTAATCATTGTTGAGCATTGAGCAAATTTGCTTTTATCTCTATCGGTTTGGAGTATGCCGCGAGACAAAGCCCCATCGAAATGTGCGTGTATGTATGTGAACCATAGAAACCATTCGAAACGAGACCGAAGAAAAAAATATAAATGTTCCAAGACCGATTAAATTGAAGCCATTCGATTTGGGATTTTTTTTCTCGCTCGTCGTCTCCGTGTTGATGCTCAATTGCAGATGTACAGATCAAGAACCGTAATAAAGACAGCAATGTAATAAAAATGAAATGGAATGATCTAACCACATTACGATTGTGTGCCATTAGAGTTGTTGTACAATGATGAGAGTGCGTGTCGTTCGTTCGTCGATTGACAAAAATTTTCGACCGGAATAGGCACGCACAGATAAATAGCAACGAAATTATATTCCGAATTCAAATTTTGCAACGGCGATGGTGCGTGAATCTTGTCCCAATCGAAGAATCGTTCAAATAACCAAAATTATTTATTTTGTCTTGAATCTTTTGATGTTGTACCGGTCATGAAGCGCACCCTATTCGCACGCAATCATCTGTGACTCAAATAATTTCGACGATGTATTATTTCAAGGCCTCGGATAATAATTATATCAGTGAAATGCACGTTAGGGAAATTGAGATTTATTCATAAACCCAATTATTACGCGCGATTGATCACCAAAAACAGGCCACCTTCGGTTATCACGTTTCGACTCAATTCGTTTCAGATTGCGTCATATCGTTTTGCACACTGTCACCCCATCGTTGTTGTGCTTTCACCTCGCACAAAGCGAATAAAAAACAAAATGCGTTCACATTTGAAATGTCGACATTGCAACTCGACACGTTTATTATACAGAAAAAAATAAAAGAAACGAAATTTCTTCGTTGAATTTGCCAATTTACATGGCATTTTGACTGGAGTCTTGTTCGTATTTTTATGGGCGCTTTGATTTAACAACCGCACAACAGCCACCAAAGAAAAATCAAAACGGAAAGAAAATGTGCGTTGAAAAGGGGCAACAAATCCGCCATTCAAGCTAACAATATCAGTCGACTGTATTATTTATGTGGTTTATTCGTGCACTTAGCATCATTTTGTTGTCAAATCCTCGGGGAGAAAGGAGTGTGTAGCGCACTTATAATGCTTGAACGTCTTTGAGGAAAACCACTTCCTTTTGCCTAACGAATGCTTTACATTTTACGCAATTTTTGCCACAATTTTACAACAGCACATTACCACAGAAATACACACACATCAATTGAAAAATTACGATTGAGCTACTGACACACACTCGCTAAAGTGTGTGCCATTTACATATCAATGCCATTGATAACATTCAATGCAAAATACGGACATTTTTCACAATCAAAACCCTTAAAAACCACAAAAACCATTGAATTATTTATTTCACTTCCAAGAAAATGGGAAAATCCAACGAAGTTCAGGTAAGATCAGAAGGGCATAGAGATGCAGAGAGCGAAAGAGAAAAAGAAGAAGCTTTGGTCTGAATACATGGTCGTTGTTGTTAGTTGGGGTACCCCAACGTCTCAACGCTCAAGTCATCTTTTTACAATTTGTGTCCTCAGCACGGCTTCCAATCAAATATTCATGCAAATGCATGAAACTTTTCCCATGCACACACACAGCGCATCAGAAACTTTGCCATTCAAACCGAGTTGGGTGGTAGAAAACGTGTCATAAATGTGTTTACTAGAAGAAGAAAAAAAAAGAGGTAAAAGGAGATTTTAGAAACACGAGAAGATTGGAATAAATGATAGTAGCTCAGTGTTTAAAATGTTATGTGCATTATTGCTATGGCTTTGGCCCGTTGAGTGCAAACGATAATTTAATGCAAGTGCAGAAGTGTCAGCACATATTAAATTCGATTAAAATCCAACACCAATAAATGTCTTGCATGTACTGTGTGTGTGTGTGGGTGTGTTGTTGATTGAATTTAAATGATTTTGCGACAGTGGCATCAAGCAAGACAAGTGCAATCACCATAATTGAAGTGATTGGATAATTGGGGCGATGGCCAATTTTTTTTCTGTGGCTGCTTTGTTTCCAGTTCAACGAAGAAACGAAATGCAAATGAATTGCATAGCTTATTATAATCACGGCAACCTGCGGACCCAGATGGAAAAAACAGCCTCAGCACATTCGAAAACAGTAATTAACATTTAAATTATGAATCATAATCAAGAGAAGCGAACGAATAAGAAAAAGCTAAAATGCTATTTCGTTCAAGTTGTTTTTTTGCGTAAAGAAATGTAAAATGCATTGCGAATGAAAAGTTTTGCTGCGGACTTTTTATGCATTTTTCGCCTTCATTTCCATCATAAAGACAGTTTTCCTTTCTTCCTTCTTTGCGTTGCAACTTGAAAATTGGTGCTTTAATGGCATAAGTTAAAGCAAAAAATCTCCTACACACAATTGCAATATTGCCAACGACCAACATTCGTTGAATTCATTCGGCTGAAATTCTTTCGAAAATGCAATCCCGTTCATATGGGTACGCGTGTGGCAACTTGCTACTAGCAAGTACTGAACTATGCCAAAAAAGAAAACAAATGCTGCACTATAATTCAAATGAATTGTACAGCGAATATATATCAAAGAAAGACGTCGTAATCAAACCCGAAAACTGGATGAATTTCATTCGTCAGCTCTTTTGGAACAACGCATTTTACTGTGCTCGCGTATGGCAAGCCATGGATAACATTGGGCATACACAAATTGAAGCAAATTAACATTCCGACAACGGAAATTTCATTCATCAGATTCCTTGCAAACGATGATTGTGTAATTTGGGCTGGGTCGTTGAAAAAAGTGAACCAACATTCACGACTACATTCCCCTCATTTGCATTGTGTGTAATGCAATCACATTATCTGTAGTTATTTAGCGTTAAAACACGAAAATATGTCATGATTCAACAATAAAAGAACAAAATTAAACTTCAACCCGAGGGACAGATCACTCAAAAGTAATTGCATTAAAAAGAAGTTATTGCATTGGTAATTGCAAGAAAAATGTAGTAATTGCTGATCAACAATTACTTTCGCAATTACTTTTTTCTCGTGCAATTACTGTCAAATTTTGGAATTACTATTTTGAGTGATTTGCCCCTCGCTTTAACCAAATTCTAGACAATATTTTCGCGATGATATCATTGAAATGTTTTTGTTACGAACTTCGCTGGAATTTACAATGAGTCAGTCGTTGGTGTATAATCTTTTTTTCTAGTTTGACATACATGCATCTTTTAGTGGAAACGAATCGGTTTATTGTCAGAATAAGACTAATTATGAATTTTATTGATTGATAATTGTATAATTGTCAGCCTGACCGAACGCTTCGTGTATGCTTCCGCATACGCAGGCGTACGGTCTCTCTTTTGGCTAATTTTCAATCGCCGTGCGCACAGTTCTGCATGCGAGCTTCGCATGCAGGTGTGCGACGGTCGATTATTACATTGTTTTTGAATACATAGGCATTCTTACTACTACAATCTTTTTCATGAAGTTTAAATTAGCTTTGGTCTTAGATAGAAGGTTTTTGTTCCCATGATTCAACACATTTCATGGTGGAAAAAAGCGATTTTCCTAGATTCACTTCCGAAGCTTCGGATAAAATCATATGGATAAAATGCATTTCTCTTTCTGAATGCTACTCATGATGGCAACAGTAAATGAAAAACTTTTTCAATGAATAGCCATTACTACCTGACTATTTTCCAATAAGAACCATGCTCAACCAGCTGTTATTATAAGAGCTCAATATCAATAAATGTCAATAACCCATTTGGCTCGTGTCAAAAAAATTGATTCCAACTGAACGAATCGTACATTAGATGACATAGGCATTTAAGCATTAAAAATAACATGGAAGCCCATGTTTTTCGGATGTCATATTAAGTTTTATTGTTGAACCCATGTTTGGACGTGATTGCATGGGTGTGTTATCAATTACAAAGATAAATATGTTTTTGGTCGTTGGAAATCGATGCCATTCGTCCGTCCACTGTGTGTAAATAGCACAGTCAGAAAATAGGCCACCTTATATCCATTTCAATAAATTATTTCACAAAGCGCAGCGTAGTGAAACGGAATTTTTGCCACATTTTCACATACACACAGATTTCCGGATAAATTTATGTCCATGAAAATCCAATATTTTAAGCGAGTGAATAAAACAAAAGACACATTGTGAGCACGTGATTTGCGAAGGCGCCGAAAACAAAATGGCCCAATAAAATTAACTTTCGATCACCAAAGCCTATCACACTGTAATGGCATTTGATATGCTACTGACACATCGTATGGACATGCTAGCTTGCCTGCCGCCTGTTCATGGTTGATTTTCAGCGCCATCCAAGTAAATGTCTAAGCTGGCATTGTCTATTCGCATCGGCTTCATCGTTTTCATTTGTATTTGACTTCATGTTATAAATTACCATCGCTCGCTTTTCACCCCAAACCGACAACGAGATATTACTTTTGCCCATAAAATTAATATAAATGCGTTGCTCAATGCTAGCGAGTGTATAAGCGAGATTAAGAGAGAGAGAGAGCGAATATTTCACGTGAATGTTTCAGACTGTAAAAACCGACATTTATTTTCATGCGATTCGAACTGTATATTCTTGAATCGATTTAACGACCACAAATCAGGCGCTGAGCATTTTCATGCGGCCGATGAAATTCTCGTTTCCTCCGTTCATTTCACTCAAGGGATATATCGGTAACAATTTTTTGCCCCCAAATTCTTATGCAATCGAAATTCACTGAATTAGAAAGAGATTCGGATGTTGTTCATGGATATTCCACAAATCAGCTCGATACAAATTCAATGCGCTACATTTTGGTTAATCAAACATTTTTGCGCTTCTTCCTTCATCGACATAAGTAAGATGAATAGTTCGTTAATTAAGGCAGAAATTATGGTGAGTTTCCTATTGTCGAAAGAATTTTCGGCGGAAAGAAATCCACTAACTAGCCTAACCCAAGAAATAAATCTGTGTAATGAAATCCAAACGCTGGCAATAATACTCAGTATTTTCAGGTCAAACCGGCATTTCCTTATTTGGCGAGCACATCTCCCATACAAATACGTTTTGCTGCTCATCGACTGTCATGATGGAAATGAATATACTTTCATATCGATCGTGTGCGTTGTAATTAGTGGGTATACCATCTGCGTTCGATTTCGAATATTGAGGCAGAACAAATACTATGTTGGATGTGCCGTATTGCATTTTTGCATCGCATGTGACTGTGTACACTCTATGCAATGCATACTGTGCATACGGTTAAACATAATTACTCCTGTGATTTTACGGTCTACATCAAATTCCAACTATGGTATGTTAAGGACACAAGCACGCTGAAGCTCTAGTAATTTTAACGGAGAACCACAACGCTATGCTAGATTTGATTCTCTTCAATCGAATACATTTCAATGGCTTTGGTTTTCAAAAATTCAATTGAACATTATTGCGCACATAAATGCAGTGTATTCTAAAACGGTTACCTGTTTGAAAATCTCTTTGTGCATCGAGTAGCGGTCAACCACAACAGTTATGAAATATTTTAAACAATAAACATAACAAATACGCATGCAAAATGTAAGCTATTTGGCTATTTTCCATGTGGTTCAAGCGAAAATCCTTTGTTGATTGTTCAATATATTACAACAGTCACGAGTAACTAATAAAGAGTAAATTTTATCGGTAGCCATGAGGGATACACCCATTGCAAGGTGGGAATACATTCCCCGGATAGGGCACTCTCAAATGAGTTGAACCGATTTCATAGCGGATACACGTATGCGACTGAAATTGATTCTGAAATAGTTGATTGAAAACTTTTTAATTGATTTTTTCTTCTCGTTCAATCATAATCGGTGAAACCGTGTGCCCTTATCATTTAACTATAAATCGATTTTCGTCCCGAATGTCAAGCCATATGTCAACAGTGCCAGAAAATGAGCTTGGAAAATGCTCATTTGAAAAACTGATTTGATTTATCGAACAACTTTTCCAAACACTGAATGTGTTTGATAATGGAGTGTTCGAGTGAAGTGAAAATCGATTTAAGTAACCATAATTAAATTCTTCAACAACAAATTAAACAGTTGAAAAATAATAGAAGCGGTGAATTATAGTTCAAATATAATTATTTGTTCACAAATAACTCATCTCGCATGTAAGATTCCAAGTTGTTACAAATTGTGTTTATGCATGAACGCGTTTGTTATTAAAGCAAACTTTTCCCATAGTTGACCTGAACATTTTATTACAGTTGTTTGGTATAACAATCGACTTTGTGACGAATGGATACAATCAAAACATTCATGTGTCCATGAATAATTTAAAATGTGAATAAAACTAACGAAATTGTCAGTTCGAAGCTGTTTCTTTCTGCAAACGAAACTTCGATTCAGATTTTCTATGGTGGTGGGAAACGGAGAATGTATGGCTATCTCCATTTGAAGTCATTTAAAATGTTCCGTTGCCGTACTGACGTAAAAATGAGCTGATTAATAGGAGTTTGACGTGCGCTTATTTACCATTTCAAGTGATAACTTACATCCGACGGTTGCAAAACTCCGCAAATGACACAGTATATTTTATGACTCATTTTTTATACGAACAGTGAACACTTCGCTTCGCATAAGAGTCAGCATCAACACGTGATAAGGGAAAAAAATAACCAGAACATACCGTTTTGCCGGAGACAATGTTGCTATTCTCCACTTTTCACGCGATACCTTTCCCTTCGGTGCGTTTTTGTCGGGAAGTTTTTTTTTCTTCGTTGAGTCTTTTTATTTCGACAATTTTTTTTGTTCGTTGTTCGTCGTGTTGTGATTAGAGCGATTTCCGCTAAGCCGCAGATACACAACCGTCTTCAAGTATGATGTCTGCAAGTGATACAAAAAGGAGAAGAAGAAAAAAAATGTATGAAAGAATTACAAAACGTGTCATGAAATACATAAATATTTACAAACAAGTGTGCCCTTGAGCTTTAAAATCGCATAAACATTGTTCCCCCCACCCGTTGTTTACTTCACATTGTGAACGCAAGCCAAACATAATCGAATAAAAAGAATTCGATTAGATTTTCGTGAAGTGGAAAAGACATTTCAATAAAATGTCACTCGCTGAGAGTGTCACCTTGCGACAACGAAGAGGAATTTAATTTTTTTCTTGACACCTTCCAGAAAAAGCCAACAAAAACTTTTGCACCTTGACTGCTCAGATTTTAGGGCTGCTAGTAACATTTAGATTTCACTTGACCTTGACTGACAAATTCAAAATTCATATCCAATTAGCGAGTTTCAGTTTCCTTTACGACTTTTATGCGTGTGCATAAATGTCCGATTTGGAACATTTCTATTTGTTTTTCCTGTCAAATGAAGCTGACATCCACTTTCGGCAGACCAACAGCTTTCGGAAAAATTATCCTCCAGCGCGTTTTAAGGCCATAAAATAATTCGAAATCATAACATGATTTAGATGACATTCCTACGAGAAATGACTTTTTTGAACATTTTTATTTTCATGAGAGCGTGCACAACTCAGTCTTTTCCCATGAGTTGAAAAGCGGAACTCATGCTCATGAAAGGTAATCCAAAATTGCAAAACCAAACGATGAAGTCGCCAACGTTTAACGTGACAGCTCTTTCCACAGCAAAATGCAACGAATAAATTCAATTTGGTTCACGACATGGAACCTGGAGAAAGATACGAAAACATGGTTTAAATGATTAGAAAACCAGAAGGGAAAATGCTGCCTCTGTTGGAATAATATGAAAAATCTTAACCGAAACTATGTATTTTTCCGCTTCCAGCTTGGTGGCACATGAAATTTGAGAAGAAAAATTAATTTGAGGAAAACACAAGAGAAAAGAAATAATTAATTTTGTTTTCCTTTGAAGATTTCTGAATCACAACACGGTTATATAAGAATATCTGCGAGGTGTGGTTGTTTCTTCGCAACAATTGGATATTCGCTTAAAAATGGAAAAAATCTGCTGCAACATTCGCGCAGTGAAAATCCATTCGCAAGAAGTCGATAATTAAAAAAGCATGTTGGCATCCTCCATTTCAGACAAAAAAAGTCAAATTGATTTCTCTAGCCTTTGTTTATCCACGTGTTGTATACGCTTACGTGAATATTATTTTCCATTGTTTACGAAATGATACAGCGCATCTGCAATTTCTGCACAATCTCTGAACGGTTTCCCAACTGAGTGAGTACATTCTCAATTTGGAATTGGACTCTCCCCCTCTCTCTCTCTCTCTCTCTCTCTCTCTCTCTCTCTCTCTCTTTCTTTCTCTTGCTGTGTGTTTACGGCACAATTTTCACTAATTCGTTGTCATTTCACAGCATTGCAGCACATATTGCTGGCAATCTGCAGTGTGTATTTCCATTTTAAATTAAATTCGTTTCCTGAATACACTCATTTCGCCCGAACAAAGAGCTGTGACAATAACCGGAGAGCATAATACGCCCACGCTGTCGCAATGTGTTTTCAACAAGATGCGAAAGCGCATTTTCAATCACCATCACATTTTGCACAACATTCAACGTGTGTGTTCGTGCTGACGGGAAATTCCAATTTCAAAACGAAAGAGAGAAAGAGGCATACACAGGCACACACACAATAGCCGAATAACAAATACAAATGTGTTTACAAAACAAATCAACGCAGTAGCAAAACTCGATTTGTTTAGTTTGTTCATGTTGAATTTTTAATCTAATCAAATTGAAATTATTCGTGAATGCTTTCAAGTTCGGGCCCATTGAAATTGGCGTGTCATTCAAAGTTCTCGCTGTTTGGAGTAGTTGAAAAAATGGTGAACTTTTGTGTTGTAATCAACCGGAACAAATCCAGTCAAAGTTACATGACAATGTTGAAAGACTAATATGGACGAGAATTATGAAAAAAAACGGTGCCTCTACACCAGCCAAAACCTGCCACGCAAAGCGAAATAACATTACATTCCCAAGAGTGTTTGTGACTGACATGTGACTTTTTCATTACTAATTTAGTAATACTAAATGCACTCTCATCGATAGGAGAGAACCAAACTAGTGCACTAAACACAGTGTATCAGATCGTAAACAAATCACGCGTTTTCATTAAATTAGCAAAGTTTTGCGAAAAAGTTTTAGTGAAACGCGATTTGTGTGCCGTGCATAACATTTTGATGTTCCCGTCAAAATTACTTCCTTTTATGGCTGATGTAATTACAAGCGAAAACAAAAACACCGATGATTTCGCGCTCATCAGAGAAAAAAATATATGAAAACATACTCTCACATTTCACACAAAGTGAAGAGCGAGTTGTTTTTTCTGTGTTTTTGGCTTTTGAGGTGAGCATATATATTTGGCCTTAGAATGAAAAGAAAAAACCGACACCCGTATTCAGCGAGAGATGGAAAGTCGTAAATGAAATTCAAAGTACAACTGAGTTGCTTGTTGTTACTTAAGTTCATTTGTTTATCATTAGAAGTACACGGTAAAATGCGACAAACCCTGTCGAAACAGCTTAAAAACATAATCCTTTATCTCGTGCATTGAATTCATGATGGTTGTTTACGGGTCTAGCACCCGAAACATTATTCATGGCTTCAGGTTGTTCCATTTCACTCCCTCTCCTCTCTCGCTGAAACGAAGATATCTGACGAGCAGCAGCGAAAAAAAATTATCTCACAACAAATCTGAAGGAAGTGCGAAACAATGTACGAGCGGTAGAAAAAATCGGTATTTTCTATTTTGTCGGTGCCGCCATTTAGCATGGCAATGCCACATAGAAATGAGCAACATCAAGAACAGCTCTATCGGGTTTCGACTAGAAAAAAAAGAAACGTCGTCCCTTTAAATACATCATCATTGTGAATGAATGGCTGGAGGAAACGGAGAAAAAAGCGCATGCAATACGAATGTCTCACTTTATTTCATTTCCGTGTTATCTATGCTGTTGACTTGGATACTCTTGCGTTCTATTTTTTCGATTTTTTTTCTTGCCACGCTATCATCAGCGTTTTCACAGAGCGAACGACAAAAAGCGAGTGAGAGAAGGTTGACGTAAACGAACCATTCATGGGAGCGTATTTGTTGTTCATCGAAATCGATAGGAGTACTCGAAATTGCTGCAAGCGACTTTCTATCACAAAGTGGAAATAAATTGTTGTTACTGCTGTCAAACGACGCATCGGAAATGGCATATCGAACTTGTATCCTATTCCAATCTATCCATTCGCATCGAAAATGGCTGCACTACACAATTCCCATTTTTTCCCCTTCTCTTGATTCCGTCGCGTTGTTTGGCTTTAATTTGTAATTGAACTGAAAATATGAACATACAATATATAAACTTGGTTCAATTGTATCTCTTTTTTTGCCTGTCGTTTTTTCCCGTCGTTGCTGTTGTTGTTGATCCCAACGAAATGAAACATTCAGTTTGCATTTATACCGAAAAAAGAGACGAAATTGCATGTGCATGTTGATCTGGTGGGAAGGAAAACATCAACGAGGAGCGATGCTTTGAAATCCATTTCACAATATGTTAAGCTTGCGAAAGAGATACACATTTATTCGAAAATTAAATGAAAAACAGATGTGAATAGATGCGAGTCGTGAGAAAAGTCGAATGGTGAACGACGGAAAAGTCTTCAATTTTGCATTTTTCAAACCCAAACTTAGCACCAAAACCATTCCGAAACGACGCCATTCGCTCTGGAAACGTATTGTGACGAATCGAATGACAGACATTTTACCAAGGCGACAAAATGTACTTCATACGTGAATGGTAGACGTTCACAAAGTTGTCCCTCCTCTATCTCTCCATTTCATTTTGAAGTCTATTTTTGTATATCTTGTTTATTCCGCAGCAAATATTGTGTGTTTTCTTTCTATTTCCAGGAAAATCCACATGACACAACTTCGACTCTTTCAAAACAAACAACAAATAAAGCAAAAAACGTCGAATAACAAGTTTTCCCCGCACTTTGCTTACATTTTTTCGTTTAATTCGCGATATATTATTAATCCCACAAGACTACGATGGCTCCCAAGCACGAAACTACCATCCAAAACTGTTTCTCATCGGGAGCTATTGTATAAACAGAAAAAAATGTGATAGAGAAAACAGAGTTGAACACAATATTGAATTTTTCTCCGTTTCGTTGGCTTATCAACATGCATAAAATTGCTTATTTGAGCTCGCTTCCATATTGTCATTCTGTATTTTGTACAGTAATGTTGCGTTCCTTTTCTGTTGACAATAGTTTGCCGGGTAATTCAATACAAAATTGCATTCAATGCGCTTAAACGATTCATTTCGCTTTAAACAATCATTTGATCTGCTTCTGCAATTTCATAACATTTGACATAAGAATACGAGTATGTTGAACACGTTCGATTCAAACCATTAATCTCAACAGATTATCGAAGTTTTATTTAAATCAAAAAAGATTGTGTTTACGCACATAAGTGGATAAACGTCTGCATATTTAAGGCACACGAGTCGAATAACATTCTGCCACATAGTCAAATGGATATATGCATAATCATAAGTTATGGTTACACATGATATGGTTCAATGGTTCATTTATATCATGTAAATGTAATTGTAAATTTTTCAGTGACGCAACCAATGCGGGAGGCCTAAATTATCATTTGTTAAACCCTTAAAAACAACATACTTTACATAACACGTGCTCCGATGGTTGACCTTGATTTTGTGGCCTTTTTATTATCCGTAAGCTTTGCTTCCACACGATTTATGGGCTGCATTCCATATCCTTCTATGCCATTCATCACAAAGTTAAACGAAACATTCCTCCTTTTTTGAATGGCCTACACAAACAGGTGCGCTCTCATT